AATTTGACAATACAAAGGGTATTTGTCCACGTTCATTCTAGTGATAACTGTAGACCAACCTGCCTTAAGAATGTCGTAGCAGAGCAGTATAAATACTGTGAAACCCCTACAACAATCTTGTGGTTGTACTCCAATGTGCTGATGCTCCACCCCGATGGCTGAATGGATAAGGATGCCACCAGTGTAACAGTAAACCAGGCTGATTGGTGCTGGGTGTTGAGTTAGCTGAGCTTAGCTGGGGAATGGGGTTCAATGTTTCCCCTTTCCGCTCTTGGCCTAGACAGTGACTCCCTGAAGGCTGTTCCACATCACCAAGCTGTTTGAACAAAACACTCAGCAGTGGTCAGTACACTGCCGAACCGTAGACGTTTGCAGCACAGAGGGAAGCCATTCAGCCCATCGTTCTTGGAGGAAAGGAAATGGCTCAAGAATGCGATCGGGACCCTCCCTCCCACAACTCCAGTGGAACACTGTCAAAGCTTTATTTGCTTCACAGATGACTAAAAGCAATGCTCAGTCTTCCATCATAAATGGTATTGGAACAGTCCATCGCTAATATGCTTGTCTATCATACAACATCTCTGAGTCTGAGTTACGACCCAGAAATTTACATTTAAAGAGGGCCTTTCACGTCAGGAGGACGTCTTATAGCATCTGACACGACTGTCTAGACATCTGAGCTGCCGGTGGGATCCGCAGAGGGTGGCTAGAGAGAACAAACGTGCACCTCTTGAGATGGGTCAAGTACCCAAGGACAATGCGAGCGGCCAACACTCCTGAAGGAAGCAGAGAGAGAAACCTAACAACTTGCACCATACGCTGAACTAACGTAACAATTTGACTGATCTAGCTTTTGAGTTGTCCTTTGTATCCATCGCTCTCCTTCGCCAGACCAGTAGAATGCCCTATGAAGCAATGGACAAAATATGGACTGATGCCAGTTCCTCAACTTTGCACAACATTTCTCTGAAAACGTATTCTTCTTAATGCAAGTGATTATCTCTATCAATGTCATCAGACCCAAGTCCTGTACTGAGCTGATTTTATTTCCGTTACAATGTCTGCTTTTCTGAAAGACAATCAGATAATAAAACGATGGGTGGAGTTTCCCCTTGTATATTGCACGAGAGGAAACGCAGCCCATATTATTTCCTTGTGCGCAATGTGACAGAATATATCATCTCTGTTGGCTTAGCATTTAAGACGTTCAGAACGAAATTGTTGATGTTCGGACGGGCAGCTGGCAAAGTGTCGCACGCAGGCTGGGCTTATCAGGAGGAGAATAAACACAGGAAGGATAGAAAAGTAAAAGAAAAACTAATTCAAAACAACAAAGCACAGGTGTGATGCGAAAGCGGGTCACGTGGATTTCAAGAACAAGAGCAACCGCAGCATTTTGCCTGCGAAATACGCAGTCACTACGATTTACAATTCAATCGTAAATCCTGTGAAACACTTTTGAGATGACCTCCTGATGTGAAAGGTGCTACATCAGATGTAATGATTATTATGACTATTATTATTTAAATCAAGGCCCTGTAATAATAATAATCCTTACATTTGACATATATAGATGTCAAATATATATACATAGGGCCTTTCATGTTAGGAGAGTATCGTAAAAGCGTTTCACAAGGTTTTACAGTTAAATTGTAGGAATTCTATTTTGCAGGCAATAGTGTAGTTGTTTTTTATTCTTACCCTGAGCTTGTGTTTGTGGTCTTCTTGTCACTTAAAATGTTTCCCAACCTCCCTCTCGTACAATCCTTTATCCTGTACTCTGCAAACTGGCTGTTCCAACTGTTCTTTTTTCACTTGCCAAGAACATTCCTGAATGGGTGGGAAGTACTCTTCACTGAGAATATAGTTGACCGGCAGCACTGAGGCAAGATAAGATAATAATAATAATCCTTGCATTTGATATAGCGCCTTATCACGTCTTCGAGACGTCTCAAATGTGCTTCACAGGATACACAGTAAAATGACTGTGTATATTTTGGGCGAAAAGCAGCAGCCAATTGTGCACAGCAGCGTCCCACAAACAGTCGTGAATTGAGCTACTTTTTTTAAAAAAAGATTATTACCCCCGGAAAGCGATCCACCAACCGGCTTTCTACCTACTGCAAGGTAAACAGAGGCGTGTGGAGTAAGCAAGATCCCGAATTTCCTATTACTTGAATCACTCCAGATAAAGATAACCCAACATGATTCAGAGTTACGCAAAGTCCTGTGCAAAGCACTCATTAAAACGCTTTCCTTTACGTACCATTGAGGAATTTGGGTGAACCCTGCATTGCAAAACCGAGTGAGGATATTTCAGCAAACCTGACTGTGCCTTCATGTGTGAACTCCATCACTTAGCCTAAAACAACAGCAGGCTGCTCACTGTCAACAGGGCGGAAGGGACATCCAGCAGCTTAGCAACGCCAACCATGATCGACGCTTTGTCAAATGGACTTGGGCTGGGACCATTCTCTCGCAGGTTCACAGGATCACAAGATGAATTTGGTTGTACAAACTAATCGACCCACCCATCGCAGCAAAAGTTAATATCATGGAGATAACAGGCTCTGTTTGGTGCCTCAGCCACTCAGTGTGTAGCAATACCCGATGTTGGAAATTTCAACTGGTTTATAACCTCGTTTTGACTTCTACATTGGTTGGGAATCCTGAAAGCCATCACTGTCAGTCTGACTATCAAAGACAATTTGTTTCAAGAGGAGATACCTCTGAACAGGTAATAACTACCTGATGTAGAACCAGAGATTGGGTGTGACTCCTTCCCTCGCCCCCGCTGCTCCCACTACATTCTGAACATACCGTTTACTAACACATTTCGCAACCGCTGAGGTTTGCGATGCAAGATTCAACTTTCAACCAGTTGCTCAAATCAGCCTGTGAATTTAGTTCATTTCTACCGTCGTAGATCAGAGATCACAGCGGTTTTGCAGCTCACGCAACACTGATTGTTTAAAAGAAACACAACGATTTCATACCAATAAATTACTTTCTCCTTCGAAAAACATGAGCAGATTTTTGCCCTTTGGGCACCAGTGTGTGTATCACTGGATCAGATATGCCAGAGTTTCCTACCCGGCTGTACTGAGCGACACACCTAAACTGGCTATGCCTGGAATCTATACTTACATTTTTCACCTTTTGCTACATGAAGATGCATACGGCTATACAGAGGGCAAGTTTACTCACTCCACACACATACCTCTCTGTTTGCCGAGCAGCAAGTAGGAACCTGCTTGTTAGTCGATCGGCGGATCGCTATTCCTCGGATAAAAATCCCTTGAAAAAAAAAATAATCTGGTCACTCAATCTACGACTGTGAGATACTGCTGTGCGCAATTGGCTGCCGCGATTCGCCCACAAAACGTACAGTCGATTCACTTTACAATATATTCTGTGAAGCGCTTTGAGACGTCTCGAAGACGTGATGAGGCGCTGTATCAAATGTAAGGATTATTATTATTATTATTAATGTGCAGAGACCACAGAGCTTTCTTCCCACCGGGAAACTTCGTTGCATAATAATGAAGCTGGAGTTACAGTATTATTAAATACTGCTGCAGCTTTAAATCCCATTGAAGCTGCCTAGGCAGAGAGCAGAGGAAAGTGACAAGGATGATTACCCCATTACCAGAGAAACAAGCTTTGCCTATTGAGGAACACAGTAATTAGATAAGGTAATTATCAGATTTGAAAAGAGACAACTTAGGGAGGACCTTGTAGAGGTGTATAAGATGCTAAACCGGATTGCTACAGTAAACCCAGAAGGATACACCAGAGCTTGATCCCATTGATGGAATTGTTAACGTGCTCACTAGATATTCCTGGTTTCACACTTTTCCTGCTACCTGTGTGTGTGTGTGTGTGTGTGATGCTGAATAATGTCCACCCGAGGGCACTCTCCTCCAATATTGCCCCCCCCAAAAAATTCTCGTGCATATTTAGCGAGACATTAGAATTCACCAAATGTGACTAAGGAGAAAGATAGCACTAGATTTCAAAAACTATAAGCACCTCCGTGTCGTATTAGTAATAATAATTCTTGCATTTGACGTGGAGTCCTGTGGCTCAAGTGAGAGCCCTCACTTCGCAAGCGAGAGACCTGGGTTCAGTTCCCGGGCAGGGGGCCAAACGTCGGGCAAGTTTCCTTACTCCACGCGCCTCTGTTTACCAACCCGGTTGTTAGTCGACTGGCGGATCAATTTCCGGGACTAATAATTCCTTAAAAAAACACTAATAATAAATTGGTCACTCAATCCACGGCCGTTTGTGGGGACGCCGCTGTGCACAATTGGCTGCCGCGTTCCGCCCACAAAATATACAGTCAATTCACTTTCCAGTATATACCGTGAAGAGTTTTGAGACGTCTCGAAGACATGATAAAGCCCTGTATCAAATGCAAGGATTATTATATTGTTATTATTATATAGCGCCTGATTGCGCCATCTCAAAGCGCGTCACAGTCTATACTGTAAAGTGAATTGACTGTGTATTTTGTGGGCGAAATGCGGCGGCCAATTGCACACAGCAGCGTCCCCACAAACAGTATTCCCAGTAAGTGTGAAGTTGCTTTAGTCAGTAAAACATGTCATGCAATTGTACTCCTCACAGATAACAAACAGAAATAACTAGGGCCCAATTGTTAGTGCCATCTGGTGGCAACAGTCATTGCACTGTTGTTTTGAACCCATTGGTTGCATTGATCTGTGTGCAATCACTCAGTTATACTCTAACACCTGAAGAACCCTTCACCGTGCATAAGAATATCCAAACCAGACGAAGAGTTCCAGATATCTACGTCACCTACGCATGGAAATTTCCCTCTGTCTGGAATGGAGTGAGCAATCTTTCCCTGGTGGGATGCACCCGGCTTATACCTGATTCCAGAGAGCGTCAAATGCAAAGATTATTATTTATTATTGCCTCTCCTCCAGCGGTTTCATAATTCAGTGCAAGCATAATACAAAATGCAGACCAGTTAATTTTCAATCACAAAAAGCCTTTATTAGCCATTTGTGGGACAAGGCTGGTCCCTCGCAAATCGGTTGCCACGTTGGCCTAGAAAATAAACAGTCACAGTAAAATCCTGCGAAGAGCTTTGAGGCGTCCCGACACCGTGATAAGGCTCTGTGTCAAGAGGAATATTATTGAAGCTGGGAAGCCGGAATAATCCAACCGGAGCCTTGAATCGCCTTTGGTGAAGAAGCTCTTTAAAATAAGACGCCGGTCGGGCTATGTTTTGTCACTGCGCTTCCCATGTTTGTTCGAAGTCACCGTTCGTTCCCCCCTGGGATCGACTCAAGTCATTGGCAAACCGATAGCCACCGACAGCAGTCAGCAGCGCGTGATCCAACCACACGTGTTACTTCTTGCTCTTGTAAGCTGCGCCTCCGTGAATTCGCATTTTCTTTTGCAAGGAGGATCGCTCTTTGGTGGCTTCTTTCTTTTTGCCGCTGGTTTCCACAGCGCCCGGTTTCCACAGCAGCAACTGCGCATCCTCCCCGGCCGTCACGACGGATTCGTCCTCCGAGTCCCAGTAAAAGGCCCGGACGGTGGCCGAGTGTGCGTCCCGGGGGCTGTACAGGTGGGTGAGCCCATCGGCCCCGGCCTCGCAGCTCAGAAAGTGTAGTTTCCCCAGGTGGGTGCCTCCTAAGACGAGCAACCTCCTGGTCCTGTGGTGGTAGAAGCCCCCAATCAGGTAGTCCAGGGCACTCCCGTCGATCTCGGTCGTTTCCCTGGCGTCGTTCATTCTGACCAGGGCGAGGGGCTCTTCGGTCTCCAGGTGGGTCAGGTCCCAGAGAGAGAAGCCCTCGTCGTGAGTCGTACAGAAGACCTGCGCGCCCTCCTCGCCGGACCAGCCCACGAAACTGACCGAGGAATCCGAGTTGCAGGTGGCCAGAAGGGCGTCGACTTCCGTGTCCCGGCCGAGGTCGAACACGTTGACCAGGCCGTCGGTCGACCCCGAGGCCATCCGGTCGGGATCGCTGGGATGGAAGCGCACCTGGGTGATGTCGTCGCTGTGCGACTCCGAGTACACCCCGAGCGGTTCCTGCGCGTCGGCCCGCGCGTCCCAGAACACCAGGAAGGCGTCCTTGTCCACCTTCTCCGTCCCCGCGCAGAGCACCGTGCCGCCGCAGCTGATGTCGAAGCCCAGGAAGGCGTTGCCGGGGAAGCCTCTGTAGGTCCGAGCGGCGTCCGGTGACTGCGATCGCGCATCCCAACACCTCACGGTCCCGTCGCAGGACGCGGAGAACAGCTGCCCGCGACCCCGGCCGAACCTGACCCGGCTAACGGGGGCCGAGTGACCCTTGAACAGGCGGAGCAGGGTGAGGGTCTGCCTGTCGTACACGCGCACGCACCGGTCGGAACAGGAAGCAGCCAGGAGCGGGCTGGTCTGCTCCGGCCACGGCCTGAGGCAGTCGATGTCCAGGAGGTACGTGAGGTCCTCCGGTGTGTGCGCGGATCGCTGGGCGACGCGTAACTTCGAGAAGTCCTCCTCAACTTTCTCCATGGACGTCCGGCGCTCCGGCTCCGTTGTTGTTGTTGGTGTTGGCGGTCGCTGTAGTGAGAGAAATAAAAACGAGCGAATAACTCCTCCGCAAAACGCATCAACAGCGCTGTACCATTGGTTCCGATAACAGGGGGGGGGGGGAGAGTGGCAGAGGGGGTAGTGGGGGGGGGGGAGCAGTGGGGGGGAGGGGGGTAGTGGAGGGGGTGTGGAGGGGGAGTGGCAGAGGGGCAGTGGTGTGGGGGGGGAGCAGTGGGGGGTAGTGGAGGGTGTGTGGGGGGGAGTGGGGGAGTGGGGGGGAGAGCAGTGTGGGGGAGTGGGAGTGGAGGGGTGTGGGGGAGAGTGGGGGTAGTGGAGGGGGGAGTGGCAGAGGGGGTAGTGGGGGGGAGCAGTGGGGCAGAGGGGGTAGTGGTGTGGAGGGGTGTGAGTGGAGAGTGGGGAGTGGGGGGGGGGGAGAGTAGAGGGGGCAGTGGGGAGTGAGTTGAATGTCCTTCTCTCAGACCCACAGGGCCTCTGCGCTGCGATTCTGTGAACAGCGGCAAATACACCACTGGAGCGGAGGGGAAGCGGCTCCGGGACCGTGTGGGGGGGGAGGGCCCGGGGGGGGGGGGGGGAGGGCCCGGGGGGGGTGTGGGGGGGAGTGTGTGTGTGTGGGGGCTCTGTGTGGGGGTTCGGGTCGGTGATGACTTGTCTCCACACGTGGTGTCGGGGCCGCCGCGGCCTCTCACTCTCTCACTCCCTCTCACTCTCACTCTCTCTCTCACTCACTCACTCACTGTATTTGATTCTCTTCTCTCGCGTTTTCTTATTATTTTTCCTCCAAAACACAGCGAACGGTGTGAGTGCAACAGCAGAGAGTGAGGGGGGAGTGAGGGGGGAAGAGAGTGAGAGTGAGTGGGGGGGGAGGGTGAGAGAGAGTGAGAGAGGGGGGGAGGGATAGAGTGAGTGAGAGTGAGGGGGGAGGGAGAGAGTGAGGAGGGAGAGAGTGAGTGTGAGTGAGGGGGGGAGGGAGAGAGTGTGAGGGGGGAGGGAGAGAGAGAGAGAGGGGGGGAGGGATAGAGTGAGTGAGAGTGAGGGGAGAGGGAGAGAGTGAGTGAGATGGGGGGGGGAGAGAGGGAGTGAGAGTGTGAGGGGGAGAGAGAGAGTGAGTGTGAGAGGGAGAGGGAGACAGTGAGTGTGAGAGGGGAGGGAGAGAGTGAGTGTGAGGGGGGAGGGAGACAGTGAGAGTGAGAGGGGAGGGAGAGAGTGAGTGTGAGGGGAGGGAGAGAGTGAGTGTGAGGGAGGAGTGAGAGGGGAGGGAGAGAGAGAGTGAGTGTGAGGGAGGAGGGAGAGTGAGTGGAGGGAGAGAGTGAGTGTGAGGGAGGAGGGAGAGTGAGAGGGGAGGGAGAGAGTGAGTGTGAGGGAGAGAGTGAGTGTGAGGGGGGGAGAGAGAGAGTGAGTGTGAGGGAGGAGGGAGAGTGAGTGTGAGGGGAGGGAGAGTGAGGGGGGAGGAGGGAGAGTGAGTGTGAGGGAGAGTGAGGGGGGAGGAGGGAGTGAGTGTGAGGGAGAGAGTGAGGGAGAGGGTGAGTGTGAGGGAGAGAGTGAGTGTGAGGGAGGAGGGAGTGAGGGGGGAGGGGGAGAGTGAGTGTGAGGGAGGAGGGAGAGGGTGAGTGTGAGGGAGAGAGTGAGTGTGAGGGAGGAGGGAGAGAGTGAGTGTGAGGGGGAGAGAGTGAGTGTGAGGGAGGGGGGAGGGGGAGAGTGAGTGTGAGGGAGGAGGGTGAGTGTGAGGGAGAGAGTGAGTGTGAGGGAGGAGGGAGAGAGTGAGTGTGAGGGGGGAGGGAGAGAGTGAGTGTGAGGGAGGAGGGAGTGAGGGGGGAGGGGGAGAGTGAGTGTGAGGGAGGAGGGTGAGTGTGAGGGAGAGAGTGAGTGTGAGGGAGGAGGGAGTGAGGGGGGAGGGGGAGAGTGAGTGTGAGGGAGGAGGGAGAGGGTGAGTGTGAGGGAGAGAGTGAGTGTGAGGGGAGGGAGAGTGAGGGGGGAGGAGGGAGAGTGAGTGTGAGGGAGGAGGGAGAGAGTGAGTGTGAGGGGAGGGAGAGTGAGGGGGGAGGGGGAGAGTGAGTGTTGCTGAGCTGCTGCTCTGTGTTGATGAGCGTTCCCAGCCATCGCCTCCTGCTGGACATGGCGGCACATAGCAGCCCCTCCTCACCAGCCACTCACTGACTTGTTCCACTCTTCAGTGCTGATCCCCCCCTCACTCTCACCCACACACACACATCATACACATACACACATCGCACATACCTACACACATACATCGCACACATACACACATCGCTCATACACATACACACATCGCACATACCTACACACATACATCATACACATACACACATCGCGCACATACAAACACATATACATACATCGCGCACATACATACACACACATCACACGCATACATACGCACATACATCGCACCCACCTATACATTGCACACACACATACCCACACACATACCCACACACATACATACCCACACACACACATACCCACACACTCACATACCCACACACTCACATACCCACACACACACATACCCGCACACACACATACCCACACACACACATACCCACACACTCACATACCCACACACTCACATACCCACACACATATCCACACACATACCCACACACATACCCACACACACATACCCACACACATACCCACACACATACCCACACACATACCCACACACATACCCACCCATTCCCTGGAATGATAGTTTTGACTGAAGGTTAAGATCATTTTGAAGTCGGAATTTACCCAAATCTTGAATTCATTTTCCCGTAACTCTGTCTGTTCGGCGCATCGGGACGTCCTCCCGACGCGAACGGCTCTGCACAAATGTAACGTTGTTGTTGGGACGACGGAGTGAGAGATGTACCGGAAAAACATCACTCTGTCTATGGGGAAATTAGAGCAGTAAAATGCTAAAAGTCAGATTTTTTTTGGCTTGCGTTACTCGTGATTTTTTTTTTCCGCACAGAACTCGCCAAATAATTTTTTTCTTCACGGACTCCAGAAAAATTCAAAGTTACACTGCGTTGCATTTCTGAGCAAAAAAGAATTTGCATAGTTTGGGAGGAATCCTAATAAACTGGTGAGATTGTGAATATATTCAGAGAGAGTGAGAGAACGTCTTGGCTCTAAAGCTCAGATACTGAGACTTGTCACCATACACTATTTTTACACTCCTTGGGTTGATCTCTAAATTATATATCTTTTTGTGGGACACTGCTGTGCGCAATTGGCTGACTTGATTCACCCACAAAACACACAGTCCATTCACTTTACAGTATATTCTCTGAAGCGCTTTGAGGCGCGATATCACATGCGAGGATTATTATTATTATCATTCACTGCACAATTTTGCCATTGCAATTCACAATATGATTGAACTCAAATGTTTTGCATAAATACGATGGCATAATAACCCTCGCATTTGGTATCGCGCTTTCCACATCTTCTCGACGTCTCAAAGCGCTTCACGGAATAGACGGTAAAGTGAATTGACTGTATATTTGCGGGCGAAACGCGGCAGCCAATTGCGCACGGCAGCGTCCCACACATGCTTTGCATAATGCAAACAGCAGCCAGAGATTGTTTCCTTCGCTCTGTTTCTGTTTGTCTGGTTACTAGGCATCATACACCACACAATATTATCATAAACAGAACAGTGCCAATTCACCTCGTCTGAATCTGCCGTGAAGGCCTGGTACGCGATCGACTCAATCAGACAAATGGACTTTTATTCACGTTGTAATAATATTAATAATAATCCTTGCATTTGATACAACAACTAGTTGTATTTATACAGCGCCCTTCATGTGGGGCAGCTTCTCAGAGCTCTTAAGGCGAACCGGGCACTCATCCAGGATGAGGTCATGGAACATAAGAGCTTTGTTTAAAAGGGAGCAGACACGTTCGAGAGCGATGCAGCGGGACTGGGCCTGAGGGTAGTTTGGGGATGTGGGGCAACTGTGGAGTGCGGGACAGGAAGAGAGTTGGAAAGGGTTTGGATGTGGGAGGAGGGGGATTACCGCCCTGAGGCAGGGTTGGCAGGTCCTTGTGGAGAGACCCGGGGATGGGGCAGCCATTGACGAGTGTTGCGATAAACCCCGGGGGAATGACACCCCAAGATGGTGCTGAGGGAGGCTGTGAAAGGGTCCAGGAATGAGAGACGGCAGGGAGGGCAGAGGAGAAGAACTGAGTGGGCGTAGCAAAGGGGGCAGTGGGTGGGGGNGCCAAAATTTGCAAGAAACTTGGAGCAAAGGGACAGTGAGGCATGGTCAGACTGTCGGCATGGGGTGGGCGGTGGGGAGGCGAGAGGAGAACAGCGAGAAGGGGTGAGAGAGGGTATTGGAGCACTCTGTGTTGGCGCTCCTAGTTTTATCTATTAAGTTAGACGAAGATCCATCCTAATAAATAATTAATGAGGTTTTGTGTGGAAAAAAAGAGGTGAGAGAGAGAGAGAACTAGAAGGGAAGGAAAGAAATCGTGGATAAAAGAAAATAATACTTAACTTGATTTGAAAATTGGGTGCACGAAAGCGATATCGCACAACGACTTCGGTCTTGGTTCAGGCAGGAGATTTTGAAGTTGCTCCTCTTCACACCTACTAATCCGAGTCCATTAAGAAAAATTGCACAGTACAGCGATGAGCCAGAAACAACCAAGAAATGTATGACCCTTTTTTTTATTTTGCTGGACTTGGCTGGGCGACCAGAAGAAACTCCCTTGTCTTTTCGAATATAATCATATAATAATAATAATCCTTGCATTTGATACAGCGCCTTATCACATCTTCAAGACATCTCAAAAAGCTTCACAGAATATACAGAATATATATAAAGTGAATAGACTGTATATTTTGTGGGTGAAGAGTGCCATTTTGACATAATACAGGTCAAATGCACACATTGTGACAACGAGGTAAGAAAATGACTTAGACGCCAGAATAACGTGAAGACTAAAATTTATTAGGGACAAAGAAAATCTTTGTGAAGAGCATGTTGGAGGCATTTTGTGTTTGAATCGTGTCAGACCTGCACTGAATTACTAGTTACCCTTCTTCTGACTCTGCCCACCTTATCTGCAGTGACAGAAGCTGGAGGAAAGCCTATTACGCGTCACTGGTTGTCTGGAAAATGTGGGCAAACTGCGACTGGGTGCGTCCATTATGACTGCTGTCTGCTCAGTATGTCTGAGTAGTACATGTCAGTCCTGACATGATAGCACACAGTCTGCTCATAACGTGAGTCAGCATTTTACTACACTAGACACGGTTTGGTTTACTCGCTTGTGGCTGAAAACATCTCAGCAATGATCTCACTCTCCTCCTCTCCGGGTCAAAACGTCTGCGGGCTTGTCTGGCTGACCAGAAGAGGCTTCTTAACTGATCCCATTGATCAGGCGCCACAAACAAGAGCTGACGTAAAAAAGAACGTCTCGCAGTTCTTATCAGTGGTTTTTTTTTGGACAGTTCGGGCATCCGACACATTCGGAAACCCATCACCATGCTTAAGAGTATCCAAACCTTATCAATGTGAGTGGTAGGCTCCGGGCAAGAGGAATTTAGAGGTGATCAAAGGCACGATCACATAAATAGGTCATTGGAGGTTTAAAAACCTGGGCGGGAAGCGATAGGTAGCAAAGAAAAGCAGTTTTGGAAGAGTGGGAAAACTCGAGTTTTACAGCCCATTTTCCTGTTGAACCATCTGAAAATGCTTCATTAGTGGTTACTGTGAAGTGTATTGGCTTCTTTATGTAGGTAAACATTGCAGCCCATACAGAACTCCCCAGAACACCCACAAAAAANGCGGGCAGACAGGACCTAACGTGGAAGAAGTATAATGTGGTCTTACTTCTTACCTCACTGAATTACCAGGGCATGCGATAAATATGCAACCACCAATGAATGAAAAGTGGAGCAATAAACGAGATTACCACGATTCATTTTAATACGATTAGTGAATGATAGAACCAGAGGCAGAGCAGCTTACCCTCTTCAAAATACATCATCAATGTCACAACTGCAGCTCCCACTAAACGGACGATGAGACCTGCCAACTCTGACCTGAAATACAATCCTGCTCCGTTTCAGCTGCAAACGAACCCAGCAATTTTGACAGCTGATTCACAAAGAAAGCAATCCGCTATCTGGGCTGAACACGTGCTGCTGCGTTGCAGTCAAATCCACCTTTAACAGTTCACCGTGTCAAAAGAGGGGAAACCGTTAATCTACCCTTCCCTCCTCTGAGGTAGGATAATGTGAGCTGTGTGTCGTCACTGTTCTATATAAAGTTTTCCCGGAATCCAAACTCATCGAATTATAATTTCCAATAAAAATGTTATTTATAACTGAAATTCTGTGGGAAAAAAAACTAACTGGTCTTTCTCTTAAATGGTGCATATTGCAAAACACAACAAATCCAGTGATTTCACAATCCTAAGTATGCTCCAAAATCTACAGTTCTGTATTTGCCGGATACAATTTCAACATTGTATGCAGTTTGTGACCTGATTGTCACATGAGTCACAAACATTATTGACATCAGCAAAGATTAATTATGTTCTAATGGATTGTTTAATGCTATTAAATAATGTTCCATAATGCACTTTTTTTTTTGCAAAAGATACATCAATCACAGTATACTTTTGTATTTTTTTGAAAAAAATCTGACTCCACTCCCATCCTAACACTGATTCAGTGAATAAATACACAGCGTGGGATGGCGCAGAGCCATCGAGACCAGATTCCAGCCTTGTTTGGTTGAGTATGGTGATTGTAGCTCGGGAGACATAAGAGGCCTGGCAGAAAGAAAGGAAAAGAAATCAGCTATTTATTGTTCCTGTTCTTGCCCGCAATCCACTAACCCGTGTCAGAGCATGTGTAGATGCGTGGGTCTAAACTGGGTCAGGATCTTCTCTTGCAGTTTAATAGTCCGTCAACGCTTCCTTTGCTAGGCTAACACATTAAGAATGCCGCTGGGCGAGGCAATGGACGGCTGCCAGCACCCATGGCAGTGTATCCAGTGTGGACTTGTCTGTGTCTTCAGAAAAGGACATGAGTAAACAGGAGAAAATTGGATGAAAAAAAATTGAAGAAAAGAAAACTGAACATTGTTTTCTGTACATTAATTAAAGGAGACGTCATAAAGTGGATGATCCCTTCCTAAAACAATACTTCGGTGATCATTATATTGAGGAAAACTATTACAGGAAACATGCGTTGTTGCCACCAGTATATGTTAATTCCCCTCTTCTCCAAATTATTGAAAACCCCACGAAAGCAATGACCCATCTTTTCGCCATTCTCCTGTAGTGAGAGGAAAGTAGGAGCCAGGATATTTCTGGTACCTTACGATGTCGTAATGTAAACACAACTATTTCTCCACAATGCGAAATCAATCCGTGAAATCAGAGGTTGAATCCTTCATGTAAACACTGCACCTCCAGAGATGATTGCGATCTCATCTCATCTTCTTGCAACCACCAGCAAAACGGTGCTATCGGGAGCTTGTGCCCTCCATTAGCTTCCACAGATCAATTACCGCTGGAACTTATTACAGGTCAGGAAAGGGAGAGTAGAAATACTGCACTCATTTTATCTCCCTTACAGGGTAGTGCTTTGGATAATCCAGTCAAGCTTGAGAGCTCGTTCTGTGGTGGACAATGGAAGACAGCATATGATTTACCAATTTAGTATCACAATTATCTCTGGAGGTGAGTATTTAGTACAGCACTCACTGCACCACTGGGCTCCCATTATACCGCAACAAAGCTGCACAGCTGCAGAAGCAAGTGGAATATGCCACGAGCTATTTCAGGCATGATCAATGAATACAAAACTAAGCTTTTTTTTTAATAACGGGGATTTAGGAGGAGGGTAAGATGCAAGATCAGAATGCATTTCGTGTGATATTTCCAGACTTGGCAACCAAAGATTTGAAAAACTACTAAATTCTCGAGCGCAGCACGGTTTAGGCATTTGTTTGAGTGTACAGAGCAGGATTAGAGAGATTTAGAGAATATTAGACTGCAGTCATTGCTGGTGCTTTAACACAGGAAAATACAGGAATGATAATACAGGAAGGTGCGTAGCTGAGCCCACAATGTATAATAAATATTGACATGCAAGTAAGCTTAGATCCCTTAGAGTTTATAGAGTGACATGCGTTTAGTTTGTCATCTTTTTAATCTCCTATCTAGTCATTTGGAATTAATATCCTACTAAGTCAATTAATGCCAATCAATTTGAGACCATCAAGAGAAATGTGGATTTTAAAGTCTCGCACAAATTAACCTGGCTCAGGTTATATCACAGAAGCAGCGGTGTTTTAACAGCTAATTCTCTTTGGAATGATAATATATCGCAATCCCTCACTCACTGATTAGCAAACATTGATGAAGGGCAGCCCCTGAGTGAAGGATGCTATATAAACCAAGTTGTTGTTGTCGAGGGCTCACCAATGTACTCGTCCGCAAAATAGTCACACAAAATACAGTGTATCCTGTGAACCTCTTTGAGACCTCTCGATGTGATAATGCGCTGTATTAAATGCAAGGATTAGTATTATGTTCCAGCACTCTAATCATAAAACTTATATTTAGATACGTGCATTTATAACTCCTATCGTGCAGCCTTTCAAGCTCCTGTTTACTTTACAGCCTTTTGACATTTCCATTTGCTACACCTCTTGTCATCGTCTCTTGGCATCAGTTGACCATGAATCAATAGAAATCAACTGGCAAGTTTCGCCCTGTGGACTTACACCCACACGAACTGTATGAAGTCTGTCCAGATAATGATTTCAAACCCTCATCTGCCACCAGAGATTTTTCTTTCTGGGCAGAATTACAAAACCGAGTCCCATGAGTTGAAAGTCGTGTGCCAATTTACTCGACAATCCAACCCTTGTGAATTATATTCTTTATGCACTGCACGCACATTTTTTTTTTTTGAAATGTATATTTGGGAGTTTTCTTAATATGCAAAAGAAAATTATATTCTCGCGATTCTGATAACACCGGATAGGATTCAGTTCTAAGTCCTCCATTGTGTACAGCAATTCTGAGAAGTGCATTGCGAGTCTACACCAGATATGTGAAACCCTCCTGTGGGTGGGACATTTCACTTGTTATGCATTGCTCAAGTAAGTCACTGGACTATTTGCTGAATGAGCAGATAAGAGAAGGATTTTAAAAAAATGGGCCACGCTCTCCACTTATCCAAAGGACATTTCAACGGAATGAATACAAAAATCAGATAAATTTTATCGTCTTTTATTTGAAGCTCAGTGCAAACTGCAGTTACATAAGTGAATTTAATCGTGAGCTATACAACACATTGAAGATGCTGCAGACCAGCAAGTAGCGAAAGAGTGCAGAAGATGGTGTGTGTGTGTGTGTGTGTGTGTGTGTGTGAGGGGGGGAGGAGTGGGCTGCGGGAGGAGGAGGAGGGGGTCAGTGAATGTTACAGAAACTATTAATATCTTTCAAGCAGGACAGGTCCAACACACAATCATGTGAAAGTGACCCGAAGATTTTCAAACTTTTTTTTTCAAAAGATCAGAAGAGTATTTTGAATTAAATATAATAATTTGAACTTGAAATCGGAAACAAAAAATAATACTGTCCTTCTGCTGTTGCCAATACAGCTTCTGAGAAATCCATTTGTTCAACATTTCATTCACTTAAGCAAAGAAAGCAGTGCACTTGTACTCATCACAGTTCAATATTCAGAATCATCACAAAACACAATATCTTTTAATAACTAGGACTTTCACTCACATCTTATAACGTGTAGAAGGCCGTCCTTTACCTGTTACTGTGGAATGGTTAAGTGTGAGTCGTACCTCCATTTAAGAAAAGGCCTATTTTTGACCACTTTCAACCACAAAAATATTTGTTATTTTCAACGCACTTTAAAATTACATTGAAAGAAAGACTGCTGTTTAATGACAAAATTCCCCACAAACTGATCGTACCTTTTGTGCCACACAATCCAATTTGGTGTGGTGGACGCGAATCATCACAGTTTAGATATGAACTTTGAACCTAGCACATACTTTATACTTTGGCTTAAAACTGAATTTCTAAATATATTACCAGTAAACTCTGTAACTACAGTAGTTTTAAGTAAAAATGACTGGTAAGCCAGGGTGAAAAACACCTTGTTTGATTAAGAGAAATAATGGAGATAAAATTGTAGTGGTTTGTCACCATTTACAGGAGGATATTTAGCACAAAATTAGAGCAAAGCAGCCTCCATTTCAACAGGAAACAGGACAAATAACTGAGTGCAAAGCTTTGTAATCTATTTATCAGAGCAAAATGCCTGAAAACATTGGTAGTACGTTGTCGAAGTTAAAACGTATAAAATATTTCAACTTTTATGAACATGAAATATGAGAATTACAGGAGAGGAAAGAGCAAATAATTGTAAATCCTGTGGTAGGCTCAGCTCTGTCCCTGACATAGTGACCTGAAAACATTCTGGCATCTTGGATTTTTACTGGAACCCCACTTCACAAATCCAGGTGATTCATTAAGACAGGATCGGTTTAAAAGCCCATGACCTCTGCATTGTTACAATAAAATGGTAATAGATTTGTAACCAGCTAAAAGGATCCAGTTCCTAAAGCTTCTGCAACTCAAGGCCAATAAATAGGCCCCAAGTTGTAATGGGTCTTCAAAAAACAAGATCACATGCAGGTGTTCCATTTCTACAGAATAGTGACCAGTGACACTTTCTCCCTAAACATTCTCTACATGTCAGTACGTAGACACAATCTGCCTCTCTCTCCCAGATGTACAGTGCCTCTGTGAGCATAGGCAGTGCAAATTTACAATATGTAAAGGAACAGATTATTACTGTAACCCAACTAAAGGCGCTATACAAATGCAATTTTGTTGTTGTTGTTCATGTGGTTGGCTGCATCGCAAATCCGAAGCTGCGTCAAAGCAGGAAACAGCTGAGGGGCTTTGCTGGGTGAATAGCCATGAATCCTGGGAGAACAATGTTAAGACCCGGCATTTGCATCTACACTGCAAAGAATTTTATCGATTATTTGGAAGTCGAATATTAGAGAAACTGCATATTATGTTCTACATCAAATCAAGCAGCATTTACGCAAAGGAATTGCATTGACTGCAGTGCTTTAATAAATACTCAGGTTGCAGCTAGAATATTTTAACCCTTTCAGGGATATAGTATCATTTTAACACAAAGTGTTTTTTTTTTAAATCTGTCAAGTTAAGAAATCTCTTTGGTTTGGCCAATTTCTTGTACCTGATAACAGTCGTCCTTGGAAATGGATAGAAACCTTTTTTTTTTTTTTAAACACTCTTTTCTCCAATCCAGTATTGAAAAAGCAGCGTGCATGTGCCAAAAGCTGAACTGAATTTAAGTGCTTGTAAAGGGTTAATGAACTTGGTTGTTTAAAATGTAAATGCAGAGAGAGAGAGAGAAAAAAAAATCTGTTGCTGCTGTGTTAATTAAACTCTTCCCTTCCAGAATCATGATCTGGAAGAGCAACACACACTCACCGCTTTGGTAAACTCAAAAACGTGAAAACAAGATTTCAAACTTGTTTTGCAAATTCCAACAAGCCTCGTGTACATGAATGTGGGTGTAATGAATAGGAGAATTACAGACACCATTAGAATTCATGGGCAACAGAAAGGGGAATTTACATAGTGCTTTAAACACACGCTTAGAATGTGAGATTGAAGAATATCGTTTTTTTTTTTAAAATTGTGTCACCCAAGATATTTTGTGATCATAAACAGGAATAATAAAAAATACTTTACCAAATTCTGCATATACCCTCTGAAAGATACAGCGTTAAACAGAAACCAGAACAGAAGTTGCTGGGAACACTCAGCAGGTCAGGCAGCCACTGTGGAAACTTTTTTTTTTAAAAAAAACTTTTTTCTCCAATCCAGTTCTCCAATTGAAAAAGCAGCGCGAGTTTGCCAAAAGCTGAACTGAATTTAAGTGCTTGTAAAGGGTTAATGAACTTGGTTGTTTTAAATGTAAATCCAGAGGAAAAAAAACTGTTAATGCTGTGTTAATTAAACTCCATAGATGCTGCCTGACCTGTTGAGTGTTCCCAGTGACTTCTGTTGTTGTTTCGGATTTCCAGCATCTGCAGGATTTTGCATTTTGCACAGCGTTAAACAGATTAAACGAGTGTATGCCACACAGTAATGGGCGTCTGTATTGTGAAAGCGAAAGGGCAGAAAGTGAATAAAACCGCAGTCAATTTCCACCGCATCTCAAGGAGCCAAATGATTCTCATTAAGCTAAATGTTCTACACTTAACAGTTAATCCTGCCTCTCAATATGAAGAGGCCAATAATTTTAAATGGGCCGCAGTGCTGGGACACTGCTTTAGTGAAACAGAAAACTTTCCACGAGGCTGTCAAAGAAAAAGCAGGGATGCTTGCAGATTTTATGGAAATGGTATGAAGTGCGACTGACGTGAAAATCCCAGGTTGTGGTGCTTCTGTGGCCCCAGCTGGTCTGGTGCTTTCTGCTTTTCAGTGCCAGTGAAAGAGGCAGTACATGTCAAATTAATTTACAATATTATTACTATTATTAATATTATTCATAAATCAAGTTATTCAAAATTGAAATCTTCACCTGTGGTGGTCAATAGGATTCAATGCTGATTCTGGTTTGTCTAAGAACCAATCAATCAATCAATCCTTTCACTCACACTGCTAGATAGGTGATCGTCAAGTCATTATTAACAAAGAAATGCGACTATCCTAAAGTAAAGACATATTTAAAGAGCTGAACTAATGTCTGTACAACCCGTTACTTAGATGATGAGGCAGTTAGAATTTCACAACATCACAGCATAAACTAAAGCAATAAAACAAAAAAGGCACAATTCAATAAGCGGTTAAGATACCTGAACCTCAAGTTGGTACATTGTTATATTACACTCTACTCATTCTGAAGAGACTTTCCATACTTTTTTTTTGAACAAAAACTTCTGCTATTTAATAACCGGTTTTGTTCACTCTCAAAATGGGAATCGTCATATGCTGATCGCTTGCTGTAACAAACCTTTCACTGCATACTTGAAACAGAGAATCCCATGAGAAGCACCAACAAAAAATCACTACAGCTAATGAACAGCACACGTAAACTCCATTGTGTTCTCTTCAGTTGGTCAGTCATCTCAGAATTCCTCCACTTGGATGTGTGTGAAAAGGATAAATCTCTTCTCAAGCCTCTGGTGACATTAGGTCGCTGGTCCAGGAAATAATAGGCTCAGTACATGCCCACACAGGCAGAAGCAGGACAGTTAACCATTCTTGAAGCATTCCAAGTTAAGACTTTGCGTTCAACATTTATCTGCCAGTGTAATAGCTTTATCAGGCAAGAGTTCATCTTCACATCAAGACAGATTCAGGTATTTAAATAAGAAGGGTACCAGAAACAGGGCATTGAACCCTACCGTTCCGTAGGTGATGTAACGATATGGAAGTTCTACCTCCATACGCTTTCGTGCCTGGCGAGTGTCAGTGCATGAAATACGGAATATCTTGCAGGCCAGGGGTATGGTGACTGCTTTTAGCACTGCCCTGGTCACCAACAGCACGGCCACTCCCAGCCCAAAACGCATAAAAACTTTGGCAGCCAGAGTTAACGTGATTGCTGGGGGAGACAATGGCAGAGCGTGGAGAGGAGTATCTGGTAAGATGCCCAACAGGTGATTCACATGAGAGGCACAAGCAATGCCTGCACCTGTGCCTAGAATCTGTGCCGTGTCGCCTCGGGATGTGCTCCACGTGTCGAGGGTGAAGGAAAAGATACCCATGGCCAGGTGAAGGCTGATGATGAACAATGGAGCATACTGGTAGGTTAGGTTGAAGTTGTCAATGAGATCCAAGGTTGGACGAAAGACGATCAGTATCAGGACGCTGTAAAGGATACCAACAATGACATCCTGTGAGGAAAGGAAGAGAGAAAAACAAAATATGTCAAATACAGCCAAGGAGATGATTTGGATTCAACAGTCCAGCACCTCATTTGTTCTGGGGGAAATTAGTCGACATAAGGAATCAACCAATATACAACCTGATGTACTTTGAGCGCTGCACTTGTGTACCAACAGATTCTCAGCAATCTTCCCCCATGGAAGGATAGTGCTCATAAATTAGTTTATTTTAAAAAATCCTATCTGTATGAACTCCACAAACCATTACATATGGCTTGGAGCTCTCCAGTGCTTGGTTTCAAGACAGATTGCTTCACAGTACAGTAGCTAGTGGCTCTGAACAGCTGCAGATGGGATTTACTGGCCAGGGAAATGCTATTAAAAACTAATCATTTTGCCAGAGGTGAGCTCATACTGAACAGAACCTCTCCCTGCTTGGAATGTAAAAACAGAAGAATATTCAGCAGAAGAAGGCTGACCCTTTTAGGAGTTAAGTTGCAGATTTCATGTATTCTCAAGTCTACATATTAGAGTTGTTTGCTGCTGGTTGCAGGCCACGAGTATACTTATTTGTGTTTATGATGCTGACAATTTTCGGTTTCAATTTAAAATGTGTTGCCCCATTCTTTTAAAAGATTCCCCCCACTTGCGCTAGACTTCATTCCCACACACATGGTCCTGAATGTGAAAAGGTCCATGCCCTCTGCAACTGTCATTCTAATGGAATGCTGTGTGCTGCTGGCTGCCTGCCGTGTTTCACCTGCAAAATACAAAGTCAATTCACTTTCCAGTATATTCTGTGAAGCGCTTTGAGATAAGGCACAATGCGATAAGGCGCTATATCAAATGCAAGGTTCATTATTATTGGTTGTAGTTCTTCCAGTAGGAGACAGGAGAGAAGATTTACTCATATCAAATGTTCCAAAAATAAAACATTTGTAATGTGATTGTTAGAATTAAATCTAATACCAGTAAGGATTCTGATTGACTAACATCAATATATTAAATAAACAATGGTCAGAAACAGCAAGGATTTCCATCCCCAAATTGGTATCTTGTGACATCTAATGCAAAGTGTACGTGTGTGGGGAGCGCAGCTGTGATTGCCTACAGATGAACTGCCTGCAAACACTCACAAAACTAATCTCACAAATGAACGGCAACTTCAGCTCACTTACATAACTATACTCCAGCAATAATCAAGGCCCATCAAGAGAAGGGGGTGATAAGACTGGGAAAATAAAGAAGTCTAAGTACCATCACAAACAAGACATCGCTAAACGTGTGCTGCAAATTCAGTACTGCAATCTCATTATAACCAAATTTGTGTTATAAAGAAGTGTATTCTAATAGGGCTGCGGTTTATTACTCTTCATAAGACCTGCAGGCCCAAACCCAAGTTTAGCTCCACTCCCTCCAACAACTTGTGGGTTCATCATTCACTCTTAGCTGGGCTGACACTTGAGTACAGCTGATCTCACTGCTGTTGCATATCCTTACATAAGTAGTATAGGTTAGCTGCCATATTTGCTTGCATAAATTGCAGTCACAGTAATTCAATGTGTGAAACATTGAAGTGTTGAAGTGATATGATGCTGCACCAAATGCGTTAATAATTCTTAGCACTGGAGAATGTGATTGCTGATTTGAAAATGAATACTTCACTCGGCCAAGTGTAACAAACTACCATAGATGTACAAGTAAACATTTCCTTCCCAATACATATCTTTGCTTTGACAGCAATAGTTCACACCAGGATACTGTTACAGTCCTGGAAGCCTGCACTGAGGTTCCACGAATTGAGTCTATGGCCAGTTCAATTATCATAGATATTACATTTGAGTGCCTTTTGAGACTTGATGGAAACCGCCCTGGACCTCAGTATGGACAATCTGACTGGTATATTTGAAGTATGTAAATAAAACCCACTAATGTAGCTTCTGGTATGGCACCACCATAGTTTGTTTACTCGGTCCGCATGCTCTGGAAAGTGTCCCAGTTAGACAGCATTTTAAATACTCTGCTAAAATTATGCTACATTCCTACAGGACACAGAGGAATTTTTTTTCAAGCTCGAAGTCAATAAGGGAAAATTCTTCCCATAGCCTTCTCAAGCCACACTTGGCCACAGAGCCTTTCTACCAGCTGAGCTATCTTGTTTTCACCTCTTCCAATTTCACACTGATTCTTCGCAATTATCCATTTGCCTCCTGCACTATGTTGTTTTGAAAATTCAAAAATAAGAATTTCAAAAAATGTAGAAATATTTCACTTGTTTAATGTGACTTTGAACTGCATTGAAATGTTGTGTTGAGAATTACTTCAGAGAGTTGAAAGGGACCTTTGAAAATAGAATAGAAACTGGAGCAAAGAACAGAAAGACGTTCTGATGCAAAACTGGGCCCAAAACTGTAGATGCTAAGCATTTTACTAGGCCAGGATTCATAGCTTTAATAGCATGCGATAGAAATAATTTATCCTAATGTTGGCTTACATCAGTTCTGGGATCAGTTAGTAACAGTGGGTTGGGAAATTGTAGCCAAGAGCAAGTCCACAATAAGACTAGTCTTGGCAAACTGCACCGGCTTAACATATATTGATTGGAATGGTGCACTGAACTATAGCCTCACGGTGTACAAACTCTAGAGACTGTACCTGATATTTCAAAAAATATACATTTTAGGAAAGAGAATTTCTATAAATGACCGATGATGCTAATAGAAACAGTTCTTGAAATATCCCTGTGCTCTTTTAACTGCAAAAATAAGCTGTTGTTGGTGAGTCATGACTGGAATATCCACCCCCACATATTATTCATCTTTCCTTGTAATAACAGTTTCCCACTCTGCACTCTTTAGAGCTTGGAGGAAAGCCATGGAACTGTACTAGAGCACACAGTAAGCATAAGGGCAAAAAGGGAAAGAAAGGAGCTTTTCTGTACTAATTTTTCCTCTTCCTTCAATATGTTGATTTTTNCAAAGGCAAGCTACTCGTACCTTACCTAAGGGACTGCATTTCACTCGTAAACTAGACAAGTTTTAGCAAGAGGAGATCACAACTGAACTTGAACTTTTTCTGATCACCATGTAGTTTCCAACAGAGCTCGCTAGTCAGTGATTAACAGGATCTGATCACTTCCCCACCGCACCCAGAGCATCAGCCAAGCATATTCAAACCTATCTTAACTGAAGTCAGCTGCTCATCCAGGAACATCTGATATATTTAACAGTTTAACACTTGCTACCGCTTTTACCTTACTAGACCATTTAGTAAGCATTTATTTTAGAACTAACCCTGGTAAGAGTTTCAATTCCCCTTCCACTGAAATTGCTTGCTGGGGTTAATGGATTATAAAAAGATCATTCATATAGCTTGTAGACGACAACTAAAACTAAAGTGAATTAATAATAATTCTTGCATTTGATATAGCGCCTTATCACATCTTCTAGACGTCTCAAAGCGCTTCACAGAATATACTGTAAAGTGAATTGAATGTATATTTGTGGGCAAAACGCAGCAGCCAATTGCGCACAGCAGTGTCCCACAAACAGTCGTGGATTGGAGTGACCAATTTATTATTGTTTTTTTTCTTGAGGGATTATTATCAGGCGTGAAGAGTAAGGAAACTTGCCCAAGGTTTTGCCCTGCCGGGAATTGAACTTGCTCTCGCTTGCGAGGCGAGTGCTGTAACCACTGAGCTACAGGACTCCACGGTAAACTCCTGGAATTCTCCATTAATGCACAATAGGTAAACCCAGACACAACTTTATAATTTCATTTTAAAAGCCTGTAATTTGATAGTATGATGTTATGTTCTTTGCACTTTAAAGAAGCAGAAAATGGTTGCTAGTTTGTATCAGGAACTGTGATCAAACCACAAACAGTTGTGACATAGTGAAAATTACTATAGTTAATGGAGTAAAAGGATCACTGATGTCAATTGCTAGGTGCACACAAGTAAACAGGTACATCATCTTATTTTCACTGATGTCTTTTGACACACTTGGGTCTTTGATTATGTAATCATGGGCCTTTAATGGGAAAGTATGGAATAAAAGGGCAAAGGCAACATTTAAAAAAAAGCTGACGAGATTTGCAATTTGAGAGAGCACAGGAAGGAAAAGCAGAAGGGCTAAAAGATGCAAAATGACCATATTTTAGTTATTACAATGTAGGGAGTTTACCAATTCCCCGTAACTGATACTCTCTACAACCACCACATTTAACATTGCATACACATATCTAGGTTTTCAGCCTTGTTTGAGCACAAGGATTTGCTGTTCTTTTATTAAAATATATTCATGTGCAAGTTTCCTTACTCCACACGCCCGATAATAATCCCTCAAGAAAAAAAAATTGGGTCACTTCAACCCATGACTGTTTGTGGGACGCTGCTGTGTGCAATTGGCTGCCGCATTTCGCCCAAAAATATACAGCCAGTTCACTTTACAGTGTATTCTGTGAAGCGCTTTGAGACGTCTAGAAGACGTGAAAAGAACTATATCAAATGCAAGGATTATTCTTATTATTCTGGTTCCTCCCATACAGAGAAATGTTCCTCAACCAACAGAATAAATAGGAAACAAACTTGCAGACAGGCCTCTGCCATTGCTCCTTCACAGCAACTATAGAGTTCATGGGTTTACACCCAGGATCTACCAGTCAATGGAATAACTTAAATGTGTAGTCCTTGGACACAAATAGGCACAAACAGGGTACTGGGAACCAGCCAGCAGAGGGCATGCACTTCCAAAATACAACAGCCAAGGGCATTGGAGAGAAAGTAAGAGCATTGTAATTATACCTCTGAGTACAGCGTGGCCACTTAACTCCACACCCATTATCTGCCCAAACAAGAGTGGATGATTTTGAAATCTTTTACATCCCTTTTCCTATCTGCTAAACGTCTAGTTTAAGTACAAAGCAAAGTAGTTTTCTGCCTAGGGAAAAGTGATTGGCTGGCAGCACAACTGGACGATGGCTGAATTCTTGGCAGTCAATACAACAGGGAACCCCAAATCCAACTAATCATTCATGGATAAGCTTTGGGAAGATCTTCAGGCAGTGGACCCAGGGAAAATGGGAGGAAATTGCAGAACAAACCCCCTGCAGGGCCTGCTCTTATCCTTACATGAGCACTTACCAGCAGGGTCACTGAATACTGGTGAGGAGCATGAACTTGGGTTATATTTTCCTTGGGGACGTTGCAATTAATTTGAGCTTCCCCAACTCTGCCTTGCTGGAAATCAGCTAACTCAGCACAGATACAAGTAGATATCTAAGGTTATGGTTCGAATAATCCTTGTTACATTGCAGCAGAAACATTTTGAAACAGAAGTAATGTGCAGCTGAAAAGGGAAGTAGCTTTGCGCACGGCCACATCAGTGGCTCCTGAAAACATTGTAAGGAAACCACATTAAGCAGTCAGCAGGCTAAGAGCAGAATAGTCGGGCACAATACTCAGTGTCAGTTTCTCAACCCCCCGTCCCACACAAAATAAAAATACTCAATAGGGCTAATAAATGATTGGTCAAAGTTATTTTCCATGGCTACAGTGACAAAGGGAATGGGGCAGGGTTGATAATTGAGTAATTTTCGAAAATGTTAATTTGTTACGAGAGAACCCCAAAAGAACATTAAAAATGTTTGTCCGAAACTAGTGGTAGGTGATTCATATAAATGCCATATATATAATATATATAAATATACACACAATATATATACATATACATACATATATACACACACACACATACATATATTAAAGTAACATGATCGGCAGTAACATCGGCAGTGTTGATCCTGACTTAATGCAGCCCTTGAAGGAGATTGGCGCCACTGCACTAATTACACTGAATTTCTGTGCCATCAATTTGGTTTGGTGTTAACACATGACTGGATTTGTGCACTGCCCCACAAAACTAAAGCAACCACCAAAAATATATAGCAAAGTTTAGCAGAAACTTGGACCATATGCATTACTCCAGATATGACCAAAACACTTCACAGCTTCAAAACAGATCCTGTGGATTTGACTTCAAACTGAGGTGCTACAACACCCAGAATTAAAGTATTTGGTAGAATGGACCAACAGTAGTTCTGTCCATCTAGGTCAAAAATGAACACCTCAAACCTCTGGACAGCTAAACCAGAACTATCTTCCGGATTAGGTCAATTCTAAGTGAAAGTAAGTGCATTTAAAGAGTCTGTAATTCACTCTTACCAGAATGGAATGCATCCCCATGTACAGTCGGCTCAGGCACACAAGAATACACCAACACGATGCTAGGAGCAGTCCAAATGCATATGGATACTGAGAAAGAAAATAGACAAAAAATGAACAAAGAAATAAATCTGAACATTACCTTCAAGCTAATTGTGGTTGGATTAAAATATCTTTTAGTTTTCAAATTAAGTGCATGTTAACACAAAAGACTGCACGGTAAACACAACATAATACAGTACTGTAAGTTATATATTGTAAATAGATAACTCATGACCCAGTAAAAAAAAGCTATCACAGATAATTTATGAACAAGAGCTACAAATGGTTACAAAACACTATTTCTCCATTATTTGTACACATTATGCATTCTTTTCCAATTACACTGTAGTACAACTGGTTTTAATTTGAAAGAAAATGCAAATCAATCTACATATGATGCAGTCATGGGTTACTATATTAATCTGCAACATCCACTTACAGTTGCACTGAGAACATGATTGTTGAAAGGCTTCAGAGATTAGTTGGAGAAGAGCGAAGAACAGAAGCCTAGTTAAAAGCACTAAGTTGTTAAGAAGTGTTTTGATGAAAGTGCTGTAAGGCGCAAAACAAATGGATTTGTAGAGAGAGTGCCCGGAAACAGGATAAGAGAGTCTGAAACCTTGACCACTAATAATGAAATAGAGCAAGTGATAAGCAGTAAATCAGAATCAGGAGAGCAGAGAGGGGGGGGAAAGATTTTAAAGCTAGGGAGGAGTGAGACTGTGAAGGGAGTTACAGGTCAGGGTGAGGATCTTGATCAAGTTATTATATACGACATATTTTGAACTGACATTTCTTCAATGACTACAATTCACTGGTTCCAGCTAAGGTCAAAAATCAAATTAAGAGCTTTCTGATCCACCCTCATTGTATAAATACTTCAAAGTCAGCAGAACTCTTCCACGTGTTTAGAATGAATAACTGGCAGGAGGCACTGAACAGACCCAATTCCAGTCACATAACTATCAGAATCCTAACATGCTGTGTCTTGTGCAGTTTGTTTATACCTCGCTCCTCCCTTTACCATCTCTCTTCCATTAGGAGAATATGTGGCCATTAGGAGAATATGTAAACAAAGGCCTCAGTCGTTCACACACCGAGCCAGACGCATGCTGACATCGCCCTACTTTGAAGTACACACAGAAGTATACACATCTCAGTCATCAAACATAGGCTTGGTTCTTATGGCTTTTTTGTGTGTTTTTCTACAAAGTGACACCACAATGCAATAAGTACTATATAGTGAACAGATGGCAACCAATAGCTTGCTTCTCCTCTCACTATACTCTTCTCACGTTGTAGATAACTAATAAAGCAATACTGTCTGCTTGATCTAATCTATTCAGGCCAAAGCATGAATGAGAAATAAACAAGCATCTGGCAAACAGTCAACACTTGCTTGTGGCCAACGCTCATTTATAAAAACTGGACGGTAGAGAAGCATGGGCCCATTAAAGAGTGTCAGAGGAATTCAAGATACAAATCAAAATGAAGGTAGTGAACTCCTGCTCACTGGCGAAATGGCATACAGCAAAACAGTAATTCATTTAATTTTTCTAATCCCTTCTCCTCTGAAGCAGTTAACTTATGCTTAGTGACATTTCCATAAACACCAGCCAACCTCCCTACTATGCCTTTCCTAAATGCCTGTTCATCGTGTGAGAGGCTAAACAATAAACACTGGCAGGGAATTTAACCATGTTGTGGAAGGAGAAAGAAAGAGAGGGAGCTCAGCTAATATTTACTTTCCAGTAGCATTCCAATAGGAACAGTGGCTGAAACTCAGCAGAGAATAGCAACTTTTGAGCCTTGTGTTTTCAAACAAAACTAATGAAGCAGTGGGATATCCACTACACTGGTTGCTCTGCAGTTAAACGATTTGGAAACTGGAAGAGAGAGACACTGTTATAATGGGTCCTGTTTTGCTCATCACCATGCACTACGTACAATCTTTTTACATTAGAAACAGTGGTCAGATCAGATCAATGGGGGTGTAGTAATAGATTTCAATAGGCATTTTAAAAATCACGGTTATTATTTTCAAACCAAGTACTAGCAGTGCTCAAGCTATACTCTGTTCTGATGAAGCATCGTGGACCCGAAACGCTGACTCACTTTCCTTTCTCCATAGATGCTGCCTGAACTGCTGAGTCTTCCCAGCGACTTGTTTTTGTTTCAGATTTTGTAGGACGATTTCTAGTTTACAAAACATAAGTGTAAATTGTCCTCAATGACCAATAGCAATTGATGTTGGGCAGCCATGTGCCATTTCAAAGATTATTTGGACACAAAATGCAGATGGTGTAAAAACAATTGTGAAGGTCAATCCAGATTTCAACATACTTACCTTTTGAACTGCATACGTGTAGCCACTTTGATAAACTGGGGTCAGCGGGCAAAATGAATTGGTTTAGGGTTTCTTAAAGTCCTAGTGCCCACCATAATCACATGCTTCTTACAGTCCTTAAAAGTCTTTAAAGCCAGCCTAGAATTGCATTTGAGCAACAGTAAGTCACAAACAGAAGTTGGTCAAAGCTAAACTTTTTTTGACCACATCATTGTGTCATTCTGAGTCGATAACTTCTCAACCAAGGCATTCTTCCTTTCAGACAAAGTCAAACAGATCTTCCTTCAGTTAAGTTACAGAAAACAATTCAAAGCCATCAAACATCCAAACTTGTAAAAGGCTTTAAACAGATATATTTATTCATAAAAAGCAATCATGCGAGTTTAAGATTTTAATAGATGATAACATAATATTGTGTACTCGCATTTTAGTTTTAATTAGCTTTCATGTTTGCCATCTTGCCAACAGGCGCCAAACAGAATCAGATTTGAGGATAAACACAAGCGGTCTGAGACATTCTCCACCAGTAAACTTTGTGACAAGAGACAATGTCATGTTCTGCAATGGACAACGTCCAATGAAAGGTTTATGTGCAAAAACCCAATCTCAGCTGGAAAAACTCACTAACTTTGAATGAATGCCACGCTGGTCCAGAATATTGGACTCGTGAGAAATACTGCACAGAATTAAGGGAATGAGCTAAATATTCCTAAATCCGGTGTAGGATCCTTATAAGCAACGTGACTGAAGTAAATTCCTGAACCTTTCATAATCTGTCATGTGGAAGAAATTATTCCTCAACACTGTATTCACTATTTGCCTTCTCCTTCAAGAATTATAAAGTTTCCAATACCTGTTGAAAGTCCAGAACAATTAGCTGAATTTGTATAATTGAAACAATAAAATGTCATAAAAGGTTAATAATTGATGACTTATTTAATCATCCTTCACCTAAGCAGAGAAGCTATATAATACAGCATGAGTAAAAGGTTAGTAATAAGTGAACTATGTGCTTCTGATATTAGTAATCTGGCTCAGATCTGCTCTTTCACACACAAAATATGGTCAATCCACTTTACAGTATATTCTGTGAAGTGCTTTGAGACATCTCAAAGACTTAATAAGGCGCTATATCAAATGCAATGATTATTATTATTTGATCTTACGGACTACTACAGTATTTTAATGTACAAAAGTGGGTACAAAAGCCTCTGCTGGTGGGAGCTGCCGTTGCCATATCCAATTTGTTATTTTAGAGCTCAGCACAGATCCTGTTCTGGGAATTCAGCTTCGAAGCTTTTACACAATGGCCCTCGACAAGAACAGACACCCGTAACCCAAATTTTAAATTCTGACAATACTCTGACAATCCTACACAAAGATTGAAGTTCCAACATTTATAAGATGACACTGACTGAAAAGGAGACGGGGCCCTCAAACAATCAATTGTTATTTTACAATTTTTTTTCAAAAATGACTCAATTCCAGATCTCAGGATCTTAACTGTAGAAGGTCACTCCTTGGAGACTTTCTATCAAATTGTTTAACCCATGTGTGAATGCTTGGGGGGGGGGAACCCTGAAAAAACAGAAACACCAAATGCTGGAACAGCAGAAACTAATCAGTCAGGTGTCAGGAATAATGTATCAAGAATGCAAAGAAATTCTTGTAATGTTTAATACAAAGCTGTTGGCCATTCATTTCACATAAATCTACAACGAGTGCTATCGTTACAACACAAACTAATTACGCAATCAGACAGCAACAAACATTACCTTATTTGCAATGATCTGTTTTGTGTTCAATTGGAGCAACTATAGAGGAAGTGAATGTTGATTCAGAAGTAAATTTGTTGAATCCAATGACTTTCTAGAAAACTAATCACCACTTAGTTAGATCAGGTGATCTAACCAACCCCTCAATGCATTGGGTGTTAAATAAACGTCTCTCCAGTTTCACACTCACTCGCTTTCCCCCCACCCTCACAAAAAAAAACTTCAATCCTGTGGCTGCTCTGTGTCACTGATTATTTACCCTGGCTGTTGTAATGGGATTATCTGAAGAAAATTGTATTATTAATTATTATTCTGTTTTAAAAACAAGAACCCAGACTATGTTCTGAAGTTTCTTTTCTTAAAAACAGCCAGTCGCCATGGAACGGTAAGGTAATGTGTATACCTCCTCAGATCATCTCCTTTTCGTTTAAGCAGGGCAACGATATACAATGGGAACCTAGAACGGAGTAACGGTGTACACGGGGGACGACGCCACAAAGGAGGAAAAACTAGAAAAATAAACTTCAAGTCTTACTAAGTGAAGATGAATGTGGAGTCCCTATAATTTTAACATCTATAATTTTACATGCAGTAATTACTACTGAACATTGCCGCAATCACTTAAAGCATTATTTAGTGTTAGTTTACACGCAGTGAGCACCCGAGCTACTATCCACTCACAAACTATTAGACAATCAACTGCAGATGTCTTTGTCTCATGCACACAACTGTTCCTCAAGGAAAACATTTTTTTTCCCCCAGTTACTCAACTTTTCCTACATCATTGTCCACACTTGATTATCTTGTGCAACTGAACACAGGGCAGCAAGCCTTGGGGTAAAACTGCTTTCATTATTTCCCAAATGGGAATAGATGGGGCTTTCGAATAAACAAACTTTATCTTGAATTCAAACTAAAACATCAGA